ATTGCGAACAGTACAACATTTGTGAATTTGCGATATTCGCCTGGCCAAGCCCAACTAACTGGGATGCATGGGTAGGTGCATTGGTAAGAAGTACACAGACCACAACGAGCCGAAACGCGGAAGGTCCATGGGTGGGAGAGATCGATCCCTGTCCACTGAGTACACTGCCGATGGTGTCAGTTCCCCCAATGAGATCTCACGAGAACATAGTATATCACCGATCTGGGATGCTGCGTTCTCTCCACCACTCCACAATATGTGAAATGTTGCGTGTGGGGCACCGAGGGAGGAAGTCCCACGAAGATGCCTGTGGCTCTCGTGGATCTGCTGGCAGCGCATCAGCTCAAGGAGGCTCATCAGTTGGCAGTTTGGCTCCGAACGCATTTGGATGCAATGGGATCGATGCCCTGCGTAGGGCTCGTTGTTGGAAAAGCTGAGCTTCATTGTTGTTGCTACCACGAGCGCAGGCTATACTCCTAGCATTGTTCAATCGAGAACGCTTTGGAGAAGGCTGATTGTCTGCTTTGCAGCTCGTTGTGCAGTTCCTGACCTGTGTGCCAGAGCCAAGCTGCGTTTAGACTGCTTGTCCCTTCGTGTCAAGGTGCGCACGTGCACGTCTCTCTCATGGCGGCAGCCGTTGCCTCTTTGGCCAATCAGGCCAGAGACTGGGCTGACTGGGCTGCCCCCTCATGTGCTTTTGATGCTTTGCACCTTTCATTCGAGGCCACGGGCTACCTGATTACTGGAGAGGTGCCGCAGAGGATGGGTTCAGTGCCGTGGTGTAAACTAATGTTTCTTCTGATAGCACAAGCTTGAGGTGAAGTACTGATCGACGCTCAGGATCATCCGTCAATTTGCCCTTACGGGACAGCTTTCTCCGACCAGGATGAAGATTTCCGACTGGGGGAGAGATTTCATGTCAGAATGAGACATAATGAGACCCTGGCAGGACGGCGAAGCGCTGGTCCTCGCAGACTTGAGCTCAGCTGGCCTGGCCCAATCATTCACTAATCAGGGAGGCTTCATTCTGACCCGCCTTTTACCATCGTATGGTTGATCGCACTGCTCAGGTTGGAACTGACACGCAATTCACCGCATTGTGCGAAGTCGCCGCCATAGACTGCTACAGCCGTTGAGAGGTGCATGCCAGTGCATGCAGCCTTCGGAGTCTACATTCACAAGTGCCAGGGTTTGGAGCACCATGCACATTGGCTTTGGGGTTAGGTTCTGCGACGTCCAGATCTTGCGGCCGACCCTCGCTACCTTCGCAATGTGGACCGGGTGATCAATCGGAAGGCTGAGAGAGGGGCTTTTCCCTTCCCGATCATTGAGCATCCCTCAGCATGCATAAGGTTTCCAACGAAGGCGCGAGGCCAGGCATCGCCACAGTCGCGAAATGTATCTATCCCACCCTTGAGCCACGGCTTCACTTGACGCCGGAGGTTGCCGGAGGTTGAATCCGCTCATGACTAATTAGTGGCAGTGTCTCGAAGCTAGATCGAGGAAGGAAGAAGGAGGTGTCCATGGGGATTGGTTCCAGGTTGCATTCGGACCCGCCAGGAGCTTCATGCTGCCCTCGGGGAGACTGTTGCCAGATGGCGCCGTGACGAGCTCCTGGCTGCCCTGTCCGACAGGAAGGCGCGCTGCGACCGCCCTCTGGATACACTTACTATGTTTGCCCCACTTGCAGGTTCCAGCCCCCAGCAACCCAATCTGCTTCACACTAGGCTCACTAGGCGGACCGTGGGGCAGACTTCCTTTCGCATAATCAACCCCTTCAGCGTGCCCAACATTGGGTCTGAGGAGAGCCCAGCCACAAACTGAGACAGACTGTTTACCAGTCCCAATCCCCTCCGCCGAATAAGGTTCCACAAGTATACCTATAGACCCCTGTACGCCGACCCTGTACCGACCCTACTCCAAGGCCTACATGCGTGATTGGAGGTTCCGAGCTACACCGCCATACTAGGAGTAGACCCCTGTTCGGAATAGCTGCCTAGCCTAAGTCGGCTAGATTTCCTTACCCGGCAACAGAGCCCCCGCTGTAGGCATGGGCCTTCTTCCGAACTCGGACCTATTGGCACGGGCATCTATTCAAATCGGTATAGGGTCCTATGTCCTAGTCATAGACCCCTGCCAAATATACAACAGACCCCTGTCCGAACAAGCCCGTATTGCCATCGGCACGGGGTCCATGTAGCATGCGGGGCTTGGCGTGGCTCGGCTTGGCTTGGCCTAGGGCTTCAGGAAGGCAACTTTCCAGATTGTTTGGGTTGGCTTCAGCGACCCTGCTGTCGACCTCAAACGGAAATGCTGGTTGCCAGACCCTGAACTCCAAACCCTAAGCAGAGATGTTGGTTGCCAAACTCTAAACCCTAAAGCGAGATGTTGATTACCAGTTCACCCGGTCACCCCAAAACCCCCTCAGCCCTCCAGGCCTTGGCAACCAATATCTCCTTTGAGGGTAAACGGTTTGGCAGCCAACATCTCCTTGTATGAACCAGCACGTCCGTTTAGGGAATGGGGTTTTGGCAACTAGCATGTCAGCTCAAAAGTTAATACGATGGCAGCCAGCATCTCCGTTTGGGTTTTCTGGTTGTGCAAGCAGCATCTTCTTGTAAGGTCTAAGGTCCGCAAGTTCCTGTTCAGGTTTAGGGTTTAGCAAACAGCATCCGCTTTTCTGATTCAGGGTTTGGCAACCAATGTCCCGTTTAGGATTTACTGTTTGGCAACCAACATCTCCTGTCAGGGGCTTAGGGTTTGGCAACCAACATCTCCGTTTAGGGTTTAGGGTTTGGCAGCCGACATCTCCGTTGTTCTCGGGTTGGAACACCAACATCTCCTTTTAGGGTTTGTTGCTTGGCAACCAGCATTTCCGTTCAGCGTCTAGGATTTGGCAACCAATATCTCCTAATACGGTTTAGTGTTTGGCAACCCGCATCTGCTTTCATGGTTTGGGATTTGGATGAATGTGGCAAGCCAACGTTTTCTCTTAGGGCTTGTTGTTTGGCAACGCAACTTTGCTTTCAGGCAGCTAACATCTCGTTTGGTTTAGGTCTTGGCAACCAACATTTCCTTTAAGGGTAAAGGGGTTTGGCAACCATGGTTTAAGGTTTGGCAACTATGTATCCGTTAGGGTTTAGGTTGTGCAACCAGCACTTTAGGGCTTGGCAACCAACATGTTTTCTTTTAGGGCTTAAGGTTTGGCAGCCGACATCTCTTTTCAGGGCTTTGGATTTGGCGACCGTGCCCCCGGCTGCAAAAACTTGGTTTGAGTAGGCTTGGTTTGGTGTAGTTGAAGCGGGGGTGCCATGCACGATGCCACAACGACTTCCTTCCTTTCCTTTGTCCTTCCCTCCTTCCTCTCTTCCTTGCTTGCCTCCTGGCCCCCACCAAAAAAGACAAACAGTCGTCGTAGTCGTACTTGCAATTAGTAGCAGTAGCAGCAGTAGTAGTAGTAGTAGTAGTAGTAGTAGTAGCAGTAGTAGTAGTAGTAGTAGTAGCAGTAGTAGGGATCATAGCGTAGTAGTAGTAACAGTAGTAGTAGTAGTAGTAGTAGTAGCAGTAGCAGTAGTAGTAGTAGTAGTAGTACTAGTAGTAGTAGTAGTAATAGTAGTAGGAGGAGTAGTAGTAGTAGTAGTAGGAGTAGCAGTAGCAGTAGCAGTAGCAGTTGCAGTAGCAGTAGCAGTAGCAGTAGACTTGGTAGTAGTACTGTAGTAGCAGTAGTA